GTGGATCCTTGATAGAGATACCACGCCTCTTGCAATCGCTGCTGGCGCCGATGGTCCGTCTTCTGGTGGTGCTGCCGCCACAAATGTGGCCCCCCTTCCTGTTGTTGCTGTGGATACTGCTGTGGACGAAGGACTGGTTGAAGATGCAGTTGAGATGGACGTCAGTGATGTGGTTGTGAGGAGGAAGGCTAGCGCGTGGTATTTTGTTACATATGATCTGGGGGAGAGGAGGGAGGTTTGGAGGTTGTTTGAACAGGGGGTTGAATCAGATGAGGATGAGGGCGGTGAACGTGGGGTGGTGGTGGGACGCACTTTGATGAGTTTTCCGTGGGTTGTTGCGGATGTGCTTTTGGATATCTTTGAGAAAAGGGGGGGGAGGATGTGAACAAAGGAAGAGGAGAGAAAGGTGTTACGGTGAGAAACGTCTGGGACGGTAAGCAATGTAGTTGAGACATATAGGGCCCCATTTTGTATTTGTATATGATGCACTGACTGCATCTCACTGCATGGCATTTGCGGGACGCCTGGGTACGGCATTTCATGGCTACGGTGCAATATAGGCAAACCTAAAATCGACCTCAAAACAACCGGAGGTCCTTTTTCCATGAAGACGTGGTTAAATCGAAATTGGACCAAAAGATATGTTGTAATCGCAGAAAAGGGAAATAAGCAAATTTATCGAGCCTGCCAGGGATCGAACCTGGAATCTCCTGATTCGTAGTCAGGCGCCTTATCCATTGGGCCACAGGCCATATGAAAACATCAGGAAGTTGTAAACAATATGAACTCAAATCTCGTGCAGTGACTTGTGGAACCTTGCTTGCCAAAAAATTCTTGGTTGAACGAGACAGGGGAGAATCTTAAATGAACTCAGCACACACACACAATGAACCCCTCCTCCGTGTCCTCTCTAGTCCGGCGAAACCTCATCAACAGACACTCGCAACCCCTTCATATTCGTCCTTCACTCTGCACAATGTCCTCCTCAGCCGCCACCATATCTTCCTCAGTAGCCAAACCAACACCCACCGTCCCCAATGTCCCTCATGAATCCTTAACTCCCAAGGTTGCGTCGTTATTACGGGGGTACCCGTCCATTATAGAGGTACCGGTTCAATGGGGGGAGCAGGATTCGTTCCAGCATGTGAACAACGTTACGTATGCGAGGTGGTTTGAGTCGGGTGAGTAGGGTGTATGCGAGGTGGTTTGAGTAAGGTGTGGACTTCATGGAAACCTCTGACCAGCCCATTGACGTTTTGTCCCTCCGTACCTTTGTTGGAAACCATCCCCGCGAGAACAGGCCGCATAGCCTTCTTCGAGCACATCTTCAAACCAAACATGACCTCCGACGCCTACGCCAACTTCATGTTCGCCAAAGCCGTGGGTCCCATCGTCAAAACCATCTTCCTCGACTACAAATTCCCGGTCACTTACCCTGATACGATCTTCGTCGGTGTCAGAGTCGACTCCATACCGGCACCCGATCGCTTCAATATGAATGTGAGAATGGTATCCAAGTTGCACGAGAGGAAGGCGGTCGAGGGGAACGCGATGATTGTGATGTATGATTATCGGGTTGGGAAGAAGGCGGAAATTCCTGAACTGCTTTTGGAGCTTTTGAAAAAGGATGAGGGGGTGGAGATCAAGAGTTCATTGTGAGGAGAGGATTGCGAGCACGGAAACGTGAATGGAAAGTACAATGTCGAAAAAAGGCGATTGGCGGCCTGAGAGTATGCAAAGCCATGCTTTGAATCCAATCTGCCGAATTTAGTTCAGTCGCGGCCGTCGTGACGGTTGTTTCGAGTCTCAAACTCCCATCAGAACGGATAACGGGCCACGATTTTCGAAACGACGGGAGCTCAATCGAGACCTTCACAGTCAGCCTTTCCTGCCAAAGGCCGAACGTGCAGGCGTTGTTTAGATTATGCAAGCGGGAAGGGAAAGATAGTGCCGTGAGGCAAAGCGGGACTTTGCAGGGAGCAGCATTCTGTCGGCGGGTGGAAGTGGGCGAAAGGATATTTTGCACTGGGAGGCAGCGATGCTTAAGTGTCCATGTCTCTTGACAATAAGACAGTAAGAGCGGAGGATGCTTCTTGAACAACACAAAGGATCCCAATCGTCAAACTGGTTTATTTATGAGAGCAAAACGATGGTGGTGACGGTGGAATGCGAGCGGGGTGGACTTCCATTGAAAGCTTTGGGTCGGATTTGGACCCTGCTATACACGTACCTAGCTGCTGGGTAGCTGTCATGGTAGCTCAAGTGTGGTCAAGTAGGTAATTACAGTATGTATGCATTTGTTCGCGCGCGATTGCCGCACGACTTCCCTCCTCCACATCTGCCTCGACATCCGTCATCCTGATTGCGTGAATTTCGTCAATTCTTGGCACCAGCGCCCCATCCTGAAATGGCTGGCAGAATGGCTGGGAATGATGGTCGTCGGTCGAAACAGTCAGGCGAGTCTGATTGAGGTCTTGATGCGATGGCATCTGCGATCAAATCGAAGGGAGACAGGAGACCACAGGAGATCATGAGGGGCTGAATTTTGATCGGCGCCAGTGTGTAACTGGGGCACAAGACGCCATGAATGCCATTTGTTCTGGGTGATCCTTGGTCGTACCAAGTTTACTTGGTCCACGGTTCGAAAGTGGCTCCGTCAGAAATGGCATGGACTCAAGTTGGAGCCACATGAGGCAGCGGGGAGGGCAGCGGAAATCCGCAGCGAATTCGGGGAGCCTCGGGGGCTTGAAAATGATCGGATACCTAGTTTTCTTTCCTTCAAGTAGGTATCGTCTGCATTTTCCACTGGACATTTGCCAGCAGCAAGAAAGCCTTTGTACCAACACCGACACGCGTCTTTGGAAACAGTAGTCCCTTCGAAAAACACCATGGCTACATCCCCGTAAGGCAGCCTGTTCAAGCAGCTGTTCCTAACGAACGTTGAAAACAAACAAATACACACGGACGTCTCCGTCCGCTCTCTTGCGCTCTCTTGCTTGAGATTTAGGCGCTCTGCCCTCACTGCAAGGATGCCCCTCTCCCGACTCTCAACATGGCTCCATATCACCATTGTCTCCCTTCTCGCGCAACATTTCGTGCGTGCAGACCCACAGCAACCTGCCGTAACCAATGTCGATGCCCTCCCTTGCTCTGCAAATTCAGACAGACCAGTCAGCATGTCTGTCGTCAACACGCGTCCAACAACCCTCCGCTTGATGTGGCGGGGCTTTGACTGCTCGCCTCGGCAGTATGCACTTATCGCACCAGGAACAACGTTCAGACAGCAAACATTCGCTACTCACGTATGGTTTGTCACTACTACGGACTCTCCGGACCGGCTTGTCGACTCTTACGTTGCGAGAGCAAGCCCGAACGATCAACAGTGGCAGGTCGCCAGTACACCTGCTGCGCTTCCATCTCCAAGAACAACAACGACAACAACACAGTCGCTTTCGCCGTCAATCTCCCCTTCCTCAGACCCTTCTCAACCAACAAGCACCACCCCACCAATGGCTCCACCTGCTGGCGAGTCGTCCAACCCGGGAGATCCAGCTCGGACACCTGGTCCCCTCAACACACCGTTACCCACCGGTTCTGTTCTGTCAGGGCCAAAGTTTGCTGATGCACACGGTGCTCCTGTCGCATCCTCTCCATCTGACAAGAGAAATGCAACACCCGGTCCAGGAGAAACAGAAGGAGATGATCCTCGGAGTAGAACCCTTTTCATCGCGCTTATCGCCGTCATCGCAGCAGTGTTTGGCGGTCTTGTCACATCCGGCGTCACTCTGTACATGAGACGAAGGGCTCGTCGCAAGAAGAAAAGGGCCGGTAACAACAACATTAGTAACCACGCGTTTGCCAACCTGTCGAAAAGAGATCAATTTTCAACCCTAGTCGTCGATATCGATGATGAGGAGAAGAGGAGCCCCCTTTCAATACTCTCCCCATTCACCTCCACAACGTATAATACGTACCCTTCTGCACCACACCCACCTCCACCAGCAGCAAACGTCCTTCCCCACACGTTCACGTCCTCCGCGATCTTAAGCTCATCCTACGGCACCTGGCTATCGCGGAAAAACGTATTTTCAGATTCAGACGCAATGACTGAGGTGACAGACCTTTCCCGAACAATAACACTAGAATCAAGGGCCGTCCCATACCCGATTAATACTGCTAGGCCTACCTCATCTGTCGCATCTACCACTATGCCACTGGAGTTGTCTTCGCCTTTGCCAATCGAGTTATCCACGCCGTTGCCATCGGGCATGTTCTCCTTCACGGACCCTTCATCCGCTCCAACTGTGCCTGCAACTCCAGTTGTGACACCGATAACGCAATGTTCGCAGGAGAAATCAGCAGTTACGTCTCCGACTTCTCCGTGATGGCGAAGATGATAGGGATACCTGAAGCCTTTTGTCAGGAGGGTTTACCGGTGATGGGTCGAAAAAGGGTGAAGTGTTGGGTTTTGCTGGGTCCTCTTTACAAACAGCTTGTACAGCGTTATTTCTCAGACATCAAATAATCTAGATTTTGAACGTAGACGAGATGGAAGGGGATGAAGGAGAAAAAGGGGAGGAATGACCTGAAGCACCCACACGACCATCGATGATCTTTCGTTGGGTCTGATCCGTTCCGTTTCTCGTCTCCTCGTCATGTTTCGTCTCTGAAACCCTATTGCCTCTCCTCTTGTCTACTCCTGACTCTTACTAGACTTCGCTGATATTTCTAATTCAGCGGTTTATTTATGCTTGGCGGGACATGAACTCGCTAATCAACCCTGGCTTGATGTTAATCTATACATTGAACTCGTGTGTAGATAATCAACTTGCTTTAGGAAATGAAGAATATACACAGCTGACTCAGCAGTGCAGGCTTTTGGAGCAGAACCCCAAAAAGTATTCTTGAAAATGGCTGGAGGATTGATTTGAGATACCAATTCTACAGAAGCAGCCACAGAACTATGTTGTTAGAGAATATCAATTACGATTTTATCGATGTGAGCAGAGTGGGGTTCGAACCCACGCATCCGAAGATACTGCGGCCTAAACGCAGCGCCTTAGACCTCTCGGCCATCTGCCCCTTCATCTACTACTGTTCATTAATTTATTAACAATACTATTGACAACCACACGAAAAAAAGCACCCATCCAAAAGAAAACAATCCTTGTCCACTGTCTCGAATTCAATCGAAGTGGAAAAAAGGTTGGTGGCCGAGCTATTGAGAGTGCAGTGGGGCGTTCACCCTTGTGGCGGTTGAACGGGCTGGGTCGAATGAAAAATTTAGAGGGATTCCAAAACGCTGTGGTGTATGAAGACGAAAAAATGTGTGGGTGAAAAGCATGAAGGCAGTGAAGGAGGTTACGAGGATGAAAGTAAATGCTGCGTGAATGAAGGTGATTATTTGTTCAAATTTGGATTGGGTGTTCGTATTTCCAGTTTCGCAACTTGAAGCAGTTGTGAGTTTGACAGGTGATACGGAAAGTGCGATGATTGCGAAGCATGAGAAGAACGGTGATGCTTGGGGAGAAATGGATATGCATCGCTTTTATTCAATTTGAAGGATTCAAGTTCTACATGAACCTAGGCCTGGTATTGACAAGTGCTGACTATACAAGGCATGGCGCACCAACTCGCGGTACTCATGTCCACAGTTCAATCACCGTTTTTGAAAAAAAATATAATAGATATTGATAAAAATCACTGCATCGCTCATGTGTTGGTGTCAATACCCATTATGTAGAAATTCAGTAGAGCAAAAAGAAAGGTAACGAGTTGAATGATCTACTGAACGTGACGATGATCATAAATTTCATCACAAAGAAAACGAGTCACTCTCAAACTGTGACATGGAGTGGCAAAAGACTCGTTTTCTTTGTGGGGTCCGTGTTTTGCCTTTCGCGTTTCATAATGACCCACCCAGATCCATTAACAGTGAAAAGTCCGAAAAAGGCCAAAAGTCAGCAGAGACTGGTGATGCCGAATTTCAAACTACTGGTTCAAACTGATTGCAAAAACTCTGCAAGATGATCTCCGAAGATTTACATGAGCAGAGGGGGGTTGAACCACACGTTTCTTTTCTTCCTTGTAATAATCATACAAAGATCTGAATCCCGATTGCTTAATGATTAATGAGATTGCAAACTTCTAACGCAGCAAGAATTCGACTCCTTGGTGTCATAACAAAAACGTTACCATGGTGATGAGCAAGCATGTCAACTGGGAACCGAACCTGGTGCTGATACTTCAAAGGCAGAAACCTTTTTGTCCCTTTCCTGGCTCGATGGGAGAGAATAAACTATTGAACTACGAGAGTACAGGTCGAGTAAAAAGTCTTCGTCCGGTAAGTACAAATCAAAGGAAAACCTAAGAAAGCACGAAATCACAACAAGACTATCTTTTTTTGGGGGGGGGGAGCAGTGAATTGAAGATAGACAAAAACCTGGTAATATCAGAAAGTCTGATCATAGCAGCATAAGATAGTGAGTAAATTGTAGCGAGTAGAGCTATTCACGTGTTATTGTGATATGACAAGACAACAGAATCATCCCGAAAATCAGCAAAGTAATGTCAGAGATACTTAGCACAGTAATGTATTGGCAGTGTGTCCTCGGACCCATCCGGGCTGCCTACGTATCCGGTGCAGCATAGATTTCTCGAGTCTATCGCTTTTGCTTACTGCTACCAGAATCAGAGGATGATTATAATTCCTGTCCACACAATATCCGGCATTGTACACATCTATGTCTCCCACAAGCCTTGTCCAAGTCCGATTGTCCCCCAGCATATGATACCCTGGGGTGATAATCTCGCATGTGGCGTTCCTTGCATGTCTCATTACCTGTCCTTGGTGAGACAAGGCGACGACATCGAGAACAATGTCCGGACCGCGGAAGTGGGTACAAGCCCCAATTCCTGACAGGTAAACAGAGGGCAATGTATTCTTTGTGAGAAAATACAGTGTCGTATTTGGGGTCCTTAGAGATGTGCAGAGCAGAGAAGTCGTTACTATAAAGGAACTACGAAATCTTTCTAAGCTCCGATTCTCGTCATCTATCTGCATGATGACTAATGATCTACTGGTGGGAGGGGTTATCAGCACGCACAAACAAAGCCAAGTGAGTGGTAGCGGATTTCAAAGGAAAGTTCCATGGACAAATCTACACTACTCAACATGGGGGCTTTGGCGCAGAGAGCCGCCCCAAAGGCAAATCTGCGTCGATTCTGCGATGATGGCGTTTCAGCATCGTCCTTGTGCGAGGGGAGTGGGCATATCATCCTTGAAATTGTGTGGTGCGGTCGTGGGCGTGAGGCAAAGTTTTGAGGATTTATAATAAGTAACTTAGCAGGGAGTCGAAGGGGTTGATACCAGGTAGGCGAGTCGAGTCCAAGTGTCCCGCACCCTCGGGTCACTCGGGAAGGGGTGAGGGCGTATGGTGGCGGGGTACGAGCACCACATGTAGTGGGTCATAAAGAAAGGTCAAAGATATGGTTCATCATATAGTACTTAAAGTACCCTCGCACGTGTCTATAGACTAAACTAAGGATTATGGCCTGCTTAAATAGGTTTGAAGAGCTCTAAGTCCACAGTCACTACGCCATCCTCCGCCGCCGCTGAGCTCTTCCTCCTTCCTAATCCGTCTCAATCCACGCCCCTTTGTCCCAATCTAGCCTTAAGTCCCCTGACACGTCCCTGATAGGTCCACTACCTCTATTCTACCCGTCCGCGCCTCTCTAGCCAGCCTCCTTGTCCTTCTCCGCCCTTGTGCCCGTGTCCAATGTCCCAAACCGTCCTCTGATCCGCGTCCTGAATACGCCCTTCTCGTCCGTCTTGCACCGTCGCCCGTTCGTTCGGTCATATCCCGATCAAGCCCCCATTGTCTGTTCGGCTATTTCCTGATCAGAAGCCCAGAGGCCACACCTCGGGCAAAAAAAGAAGTGGGGCATCTGATATGGAAGATCAAAATGCGTCGACTGAGAGTCAAACCCAGGCCTCATGGGTGCAACATTTATAAAGTTTCCCCACATGGGCTGGGAATCAATCAAATGATATCACATGAGCGAAAATGGTTCACAAGGTACTAAAACGCAGGGATGTGACCATTGAGTTCAATGATGAAGTGCGTCAGCCGGGAGTCGAACCCGGGCCTCATGCTTGGAAGGCAGGAATTCTACCGCTATACTACTGACGCTTGTTGTTATGTAGCATCCGACAGAAACCTCATATTCTCACATAATAAGCGAAACGCAAAGAATATACACGATAAAACTCTTAACGTCTAGTTGAAAATCATCCATCCCTTCTCTCCCCCTCATTACCACCACCTCCACCACCACCATGACCTTGTACCCCCATTTCTTGATGATGAGGATCATCATCCAACAACAACCTCCTCTCTGGAGACGTCGGTCTATACCTCGGTGTTACTGCTGCTGCCAGTGTCACTGACGGTGGTGGTGGTTGTAACGGCTGTTGTTGTTGTTGTGATGAAGAAGCAGCTGACTTGATAGACATCTTTGCAGAAGGAGGAACAACAGCCTTAGGATCCATGGGAAGGCCAGTTTCAGGATCTATGCCCCAAGCCAAAAACTTGCGTTGAACGAGGATAAGACGAGCATCATCAAACGAGAGAGAGGGATCCGATTTCATAATCGCCTTCAATTCCTCAACATCCTCACCCACCAACCCCTTTCTGCCTTCACTCTGATGACCTTCACCCTCCATATTCCCCGACAAATCAAAAGTATCACTTGTCAACCCGTCCGCAACCGCCTGATCCCACGTCGCCACACTCCCAGCAATACTCGCCGCCGACCCTTGGTTCTCATCATTATAATGTATAGGCAGCAATCGAGAATAGGAACCACCTGTACTGAGACCGATTCGACGTGCGGCTGCGGATGTGAGTTGGTGAAGACGGGTATATATGCGACGAAGCGGGGTGCGGATTGAGGGTGGGAGTGCGGAGGTTAGGCGACGGGTTAGGTGAGTGAGGGGTGTGTCTGAGTAGGGGACGTTTCTTGTGCGGAGAAAGTTTATGAAGAAGCGGAAGAGGATGTAGGCTGTGTTTGTGTGTGTAGGGGGAGCAACAAAGATAGCAAAGACGTGAGCAAGTGTTTAGAATGGGAAGTGAAATGGAAGCAAAAGTGAAGTGAATGCATACCAAGTATCAGGGCGAGTAAGAAGCGCCAATTGAGCAAGGAGTAAAAGGACATTGTTTGATTGTTGTTGTTGGGTTAAGTATGTATAGTGGTGTGTTGAGGTGAGGACGGCAGAGCGCGTTCAGAAGTTCATGTTCATTGAGACATCGACTGTGCAAAGACCACAAGTGAAGAGACGTGTGCAAGTGCAGGTGCAAGTGCAAGGAGAGGAGAGTTGGATGGTGACACGAGGCAGGAAACAGTACTTGAGTCCTGGCAAAAATCGAACGACAAAAATCAAACACCGACAAAACGACCACGCAGACCACAACCGGTTAACGACTTTACAGAACGGAAGTTGATGGAATCGAAACCACCACCATTCTCTAACTATTGCTCTCGCGACTCTTGTTCACTTGTAGGTGTTCTTAGATCTCCTGCTGTGGTGTTATCGAAATGAATCTTCTCTTTCGAGCTGTTTGTATGGTTCAAAAGGTCCCGCTGCTACGTAGATATACTCCTGCCCAGACTCCTGCCAGAGCTTCACAACTGAATTCAAAAACTGATCGGAGTCGGCGATAGTAGGTCATCATCTCATGTCCAACAACCGAACAAAAAACATCGAACAACAGAACCAAGAGTTGGAGCTGATCGAATTGAAGCCACCAGCCGTTCCGTTGACGTCTTCACCTGTAGCCCCATTTCTATTATTGTCCCATTCTTATCATATAGAGGTTCAATATATGAGCGATCCTTTTCCCACTAGCCCTCCTCCTTCCTCTCATGCACCTTCTTCTTCTTCCGCATCCCCACAACCATCATCGGCATCCCATCTGCCCCTCCCTTCTTCCGTTCCTGCTTCTCCTTCTCCTGAGAGCGCAGAGCCTCCCGCAACACCTCCTTCTGTCTCCGCTCCTTTTGAAAATCAAGATCCGGTTTCT